TGTTAAGTCCATTTGAGTCATAACATCTGTTAGTTTCTTTATTTCTCCATTAATTTTCTGTCTGACAGACCTATCCAGTGGTGAAAGTGGGGTGTTTTAGTCTCTCACTATTAGTGTGTAGGGTTTAATGTGTGATTTAAGTTTAGAAGTGTTTCTGCTGGGCACTGGTGGCGCACACCTTTAATCCCAGCACTCGGGAGGCAGAGGCAGGTGGTTCTCTGTGAGTTCAAGGCCAGCCTGGTCACGAAGTGAGTTCCAGGACAGCCAGGGCTACACAGAGAAACCCTGTCTCAAAAAATAAAGGTCTAGTCCCTTATAAGGCCACTTCTTCCTCCTGAGGCTGACCGCCAAGGTCCAGCAATCAGAAGCCCCCTTTGGCTCACCTAATTAACATGGTCATTAATATTCCCCTTGATAACCTGACATTTGCCCATGTGACCCATCTGTCTCCTCTCTATCCAGAGGCGGGACCCCAGCCCATTTTAACACAGACCTCCCCTTCTTCTCCTGTAAGAATGACCCCTGCAAGGTCATTTGCTGCTGTTAAAGCCGCCAGCCACTTTAACTTTTCTTCCCCTGCTTGATAAAGGATCTCTGTAAAAGCAGGTGGTTGGGTGTCGTTTGTGCCTAATCAGGGGTCTGAGAGGGCGCCCCTGCTGTGCAGGAGCCCCCCTTTTAACAGCTACAAATCTTTAAAAAATAATTAGATACAAAGGGGACTGGAAAGATGGCTCAGTGGTTAAGAGCACTGACTGCTCTTGCAGAGGACCTGGGATCAGTTCCCAGAACCCACATGGTATCTCACAGCAGCCTGTAACTTCAGTTCCAGGAGACAGCACACCTTTTAGGACCTCCTCGGGCCCTAGGTACACAAGTGGTGCACAGATACACACAGGCCAAAGGCTCAGACACATGAATCTAGGTATAAACCTACCAAAATATGTATAGAAGCTGTATGTTAAGCATATTACTTTAAATAACACTGAAGTTAGATGCACCCACTGCTATTATCATTAGCTTTTTTTGACACAGCTACTGTAATATTTTAGATCACACATGGCCCATATTCTATTATATAGGAGGGGACTGACTAGGTTTCTACTAGGGAGATTAATTGGAGAAGAACATGTTGGGAAAGATAGTTCCTTAGAACAGAGCATGCTGGGAGCACCTGTGTGCTTGTAGCAAAGCACGCTGGGAACAGTCTAGACTCTAGGTGCCACACTATGGAGAGTACCACCTAGAAAGATGCTAGAAACACCTCTGCAACAGCACAGAGCATCCTGGGAGCACCTGTTCTCTTGGAGTACAGCATGCTGGGAAAAAGCAAGGGTGGGGGGTGGCGGCAGACAGGTGGGGGAGGCCAAAGTGAATGCTGTGAAGATGACCCAAGTTAACAGCTGAGGAGAGCTGGGGGACCCTGAGGACGGCACAAAGTGGCCACACCCTCAACATAGTGCATGCTGGGAGTATCAGGCCAGGGATGACTGCAGCGGGCAGGTGGGAGGCTGGTACCTGTCCTTGCCCGTCTCACCCCGGAAGAGGTCGTCAAACTGCTGCATGCGGGCGGGAGAGACGGCGTAGGCCTCCATGTTAGGGAATGCAAGGCCCGCCCGCTGGATAACTCGCAGGAGGCTGCCCTGTGGCTTCTCCATCTTTTTGGGGGGGCCCCAGAAGATGAACACCGTCTCAGGGGTTCGGTTGACGAATTCCTGGGGCCTCCTCAGCACACGGAACACACTGGAATGGGCCACTATGCGGAAGGTGGTTTTGTTGCCGACGTCGGCCGAGTAGCCAGTGGTGGGAGCATCATTCATGCGGATGGTACACTCGGCCCGCTCAATCTCAGGGCCCAGTTTGGTGCCCAGCAGGTGGCTGGAGCTGGTTATGATCACGCACTGGTTGCACCGGGAGGGCAGCGTCTGTGGGGCAAGGAGAGGGACGCTATCAATGGTGCTCTGCGCAGGGTTCTGTACTTTAACAGCCAGGCCTGCGGGAGCTGGGGACCCTCGTGACGGTTCAGAGCACATTCAGCCTAGTTCTGTGGATGTTCCAAACCAGCTCGGGACAGAGGAACAAAAGACAGTCAGGTCCTCTCCCTCAATATGTTTGCCATCTCGAGCATCCCTCCCAGAGTCTCCACAAGCAGTTTAGAGATGCTGGGGCAGTGCTTAGAGCCGAGAGAAGAGAAGGAAGATGACCCAAATACATCATATACATGCATGAAAATCTCCTAAGAAACCTATTATATAATTAATACACGCTTACACAAAACAACAACAACAAAAGTAAGACACTTAGAGTTCGGGAGACAGAGTGCAAAATACACACTAGGAAAAAACGTGGAAGGAGGTGATCAGAAACGGAGAGATGGAAGCATCTTTAGAACAGTCTTTCGAGCCAGGCCATCGTGGCGCACACCTTTAATCCCAGCACTCGGGAGGCAGAGGCAGGCAGATTTCTGAGTTCGAGGCCAGCCTGGTCTACAGAGCGAGTTCCAGGACAGCCAGGGCTACACAGAGAAACCCTGTTTCTAAAAACAAAACAAAAAGCAAGCAAACAGGGCTGGAGAGATGGCTCAGTGGTTAAGAGCACTGCCTGCTCTTCCAAAGGTCCTGAGTTCAATTCCCGGCAACCACACAGTGGCTCACAACCATCTGTAATGAGGTCTGGTGCCCTCTTCTGGCCTGCAGGCAGACAGAATATTGTATACACAATAAATAAATAAATATTTTTTTTTAAAAAAAGCAAGCAAACAAACAAAAAAACAGTCTTCAGAATCACACCTGAAGAGTATGTTGCTACTTAGGGAAAGATGTTCCAGGCCAGAGGAAGAGCAAGCACAAGAACTTGAGACAGAAACACAGCAGCCCATTGAGAGACAGAAGACAGAGGCTGGCTGGAACTCAGTTGTGTGTGGCCGGGCTCCCTAAAAGGACGCCTCCTCAAACACACCAGGCCATTTTCCACAGCCTTCAACAAGCGCCAACCCAGATACACACTCCCCTAACTAGTCTTCCCACCGTCAGGCCGGGAGACGTGAAAAGCCAGGCTCAGACTTTTTTTCCCTTCAAGCCACCCACACTCGAGCTGTCCCTTTCTCTTCCCACCCTCTATCCCATTCCTCTTTAAAAAAAAAAAAAATGTTTATTTATTCATTCATTATGTATACAGTATTCTGTCTGCGTGTATGTCTGCAGGCCAGAAGAGGGCACCAGACCTCATTACAGATGGTTGTGAACCACTGTGTGGTTGCTGGGAATTGAACTCAGGACCTTTGGAAGAGCAGCCAGTGCTCTTAACCTCTGAGCCATCTCTCCAGCCCTCTCCCATTCCCCTTAACCCCAACTATGGGTCCCTTCCAGGGAGGGTGCGTCCAAAGCCCAGGGACCTGCTCCGGATACACAAGGCTCTGAAGAAAATCAGCAAGGGAAGAGAGTCTGAATACATGAATTCCACAGACACCCCAAGGCAAAGAGAGGTACTCAGGGAAGACATAAATGGCTCACGAACCAGGTCTATGGAGCAAGAGTGCTGGAAACTCACCACTAGACCCCAGTCACTTGACCTTTGGATCTAGTTGCAATTCAGCAGGGGCTGGACAAATCTCTCCCTCCCATGAGGCATGGTTTTAGCCAGGTGATTCACATCTCTGAGCCTTGATCACTTCTAGGGAGATAATAGCACTGGGCAGCTGGCACTCCGGAAAGGGCAGCCATTATTGTTTCTGCTCTGTGTTGTCCAGAGCCTCAGGGGTCTCCTCCCAAGCTTATACGGTGTGTCCCCAAGGATCCACGAAACTGGGAGTCTGACTCCGGAGACAACAGAAGATATAGTTTTGTCTTTTTAATTTTTAGGATAACGTGTGTGTGTATGCATGTGTGTTGGGGGGGGTGGCATTCCACAACACACTGCCACATGTGTGGAGGTCAGAGGACACCTTGCAGGTGTTGGTGTGGATTCCAGAGATAGATCTAACACAGGTCATCAGGCTTGGCAGCAAACGCTTTCTCTATGAGCCATCACACTGGACCAAGACAATAAACTTTTTTTTTTCCCAAGACGGGGTTTCTCTGTGTAACCATCCCAGCTATCCTGGAACTCGCTTTGTAGACGAGACGACCCTCAAATTTGCAGAGATCCACCTGCCTCTACCTCCCGATTAAAAGCGTGCACCACCACCACCTAACAACAGATGTTTTAACACTAAAGTCAGGACCCTGATGGGAACTGAGGTTCATTGCCAAACACTTGTCCAAGATCCCACCCCAAGCAAAGGGCCACGATCTTGACTCATGACCCTCATCCATCTTCTCTAGGAGGCTGAGGGATACGGGAGAGAAGAGTTGGGAGGTGGGCCATATCAGCAGTCACGGAACTCCCCACAAAATCCGCTCTACCTTGTTTCCCAGGATAGGGAAGTAGGCGTTGGAGAAACTCCACTTCTTGAGGTTGAAGGGCTGACGCACGCGCGGGGAGCCGTAGTGGAAGACCTCGTTGGCACTGTTGGAGCTGTAGAGGATGAGGATGGTGATGAGAGCAAAGAGGACCACAAACACTGCTGACCGTTGCTCCTGGAGAAGGAAGCCCAGATGAGTTTGGGTACTACTTCCTTCTGGCATTCCACCAATCACGTTCCTTCTTATTCCCTCTACCCCGAGTCCTAGGGATGGAAACCTAGGGACTCATGCAGCTGAGACAGTTCCTTTACCTCTGAACTATCCAGTCCAGTCATGTCGCTTGCAGACTGCTATCCTTTCAACCCAGACCTGTAGCTCTGAGTACCAAGGCTGCGGCAGCCTTGTTCCCAGGCCCCTGGGTGAGGCCTGCAGAAGGAGCCCAGGAAGAGTGCCCAGCATGGTGTTGCACACTTCCCAGTGCTTTGAGGGTTGCTGCAGGTTTGATGCTAGCCTGGGCTACAGAGTACAGGAAAAATGTGCTTCTGGCCTGAACTAGATGTGGATGACACAGGTGGGGAGAGGGACATCCAAAGGATCCAGATCTTCCAATGATAGTAACTCTCCATAAGCTGTCAGTGTACAGCTGGCCTCACACACCTTCAGGAACGCAGATTCAACAAACCACAACCAATAGTGTAGTCAGGCCTACAATGACTGGACCAGCACTGAACTATCTTGTTATTAGTCCCTACTTTGTGAGCTTGCTTGTTTTCTTTCTTTCTTTCTTTCTTTCTTTCTTTCTTTCTTTCTTTCTTTCTTCTTTCTTTCTTTCTTTCTTTCCTTCCTTCCTTCCTTCTTTCAGAAGTCACCTCACATAGTCAGTGCCACCTCAGATTCACTATGTAACCAAGGCTGGCTTTGCTCTACTGATCCTCCAGCCTCCAGCTCCTCAGGACCAGGATGACAAGCAGGTGCCCTACACCAGCAGTTTGGCTGCACACACCAAGTTAGGCATTATAAGTTATCTAGAGATGATAAACCACATATGTTGTGAAGGTGATATCCAATTACTAAGCCATCCTACATGAAGAACTTGTGCTCACACGCTTGGGTTTCTGTCTCCTCAGGAGACCCTCGAAGCAAGCCATCATAAATATGAAGGAACACGTCACCTCTCACCCTATGCTCACCTATACTGCCCGCTTGGTGAAAATGGATGTGGGCTCTTTTTAAGTATTTTTCCTTGCCAAGGCATTTTAAGATGCCTCAGTAGAGGGAGCTGTTAAGAATAAAGGCAGGATGGGCAGGCCCCCTAACGACCTTTGGTTCCTACTGGACCACAAGTTATTTAAAGTTCAGCTCCTCCAGCAGCCCCCAGAAGCCAGTATCTGTCCCTTCGCAGGGCCAGGTAGTGAGCGGACTACAGCCCTGTCTCCAGCTGGGGCTGACACCTGGTCCTGGATCTAACAATCAGCTTGTGCCCTGATCAACCCACTGTAACTAGGAAATATCAGAAGGAAGAAGAGGCATTTAATCCAGTCAGTCAGTTCAGCCACGTCCCAGCTCAGCAGCAATGCACAGCAGAGAATGTCCCTCTCAGCAGGAGTGGCTCTTTGGAAGCCGTAGGCCTCAGCCCCACCCAGTATCACCAGCGGTAGCATAACAAACAAAACCTCAAGTTTCAGAGTGCATTTTTGCATCCCCAAAAGCCCACATCAGGCAGCTGGGAGTGGGGGTCAGTTGACAGTGCTTAACTAGCGTGCCCTAAGCCCTGGTTTTGATTCTCAGTATTACATAAACAAGCCTGAAGTCTCAGCACTGGGGAGGTGGAGGCAGGAGGAACAGGAAGGAATTCCTAGACACAGGGAGGCCAGCCTGGGATATACAAGACCCTGTCGCACATACACACAATTTTTTTCTAAGTCTAACCACGGCAAGTCAGAGATCCCCACATTTCTTTTTGTTTGTTTGTTCTTTGAGACAGGTCTCTCTATTTAGGCCAGGCTGTACTGGAATTCATTCTGTAGACCAGGCTGGCCTGGAACTCACAGAGATCCACCTGCTTCGGCTTCCTGAGTGCTGGGATTAAGAGTTCCATTCCCTGTTGCTCCATGCCCCGTTGCCATTGATAATTCTCTGTATTAAATCATCTCTGTCCAAGGACTGAGTTATCTTTCTCCTAAACTTAGAATGCTACAACCACATGCCCCACTTTCAAATCTCACGTTCTGCCATGGAGCCCAGAAAAAGGTATGGGGGGTGTCAAACACATAGCAGGCGTTCAGGAAACATGAACAAGCACATGATGGAGAACTCAGGTGCTCTGATTCTGAACATGGCCATTCATTCCCGAGGCACCTGCTCACCTCCCTATCCTGTGTTCTGCGCGGCATCCACAGACACCTTCACACAGTAATTTCCCACAGACGAGTCAAGCTTAGGACATCAGAGAGGACACTGGGCCCCAAAAGAAGCAAGACCTTCCCAGACCAACGGCTCAGTGGCTGAAGTGGAGTTTGAACCCAGGCCTCCCGTATGGGTTGGGGCGCCTTCCATTGAAGGCTGCCAGCAGCTCAGATGGGGAGAGCTGAAGGTTGTGAGCAGCTCAGACCGGGATAAGAAATGAAGGGGACTTACTTTGTTGTTACTCATCTCTCTCCGGCGTCTGCTGAGGGGTAGGGGCCAGCGTCCTGCAGGTGGCCCGGGGGGCAAGGTGGTGGGGTCACACCTGCAAGCCACCAGAAAGGGTTATGGCCAGAGGCCCTCCCTAGATGCGGCTGGATCATAGGTCTCTACCCAACAACTCTCCTACATGCCCCAAACTTAAAGGCTCAGGGCTGCATCCATGTTGTCCTGGTTCCCACTCATACTTCATGCTGGGATGGTTCAGGTTTCCTAGGTCGTCGATTCTCCCCAAGCGCCACCTCACAGACCTCTGAACGATATGAGTCAATGAATTCAGTCATTGGTCAGTGTGATATTGGGGGTCAAGGGCACAGCCATGATTCTCAGAAGTCTCAGCTGAGGGATGGCTACAATTACAGCCTTACACAGGCCTGCCTGCCCCGGCCCAGCCGTGTGCCTCTCCCCTACAGCTGGGCCTAACCCTTCACTTCCTTTTCCCCACCTATAAGCAGGCCATAAGTATTCGGATCCACTCCACTCCCGACAGCTACAGCCCAACAGGCAAAACTAATGATGGTGTAAAAAGGAAGAAAACGGCCTGGATCCTCGGAGGGGATCCCCGCTTCAGAGAGCTCCCCGGGGGCCTCTCGGTTCCCGTCACTATCTCCGCCCCCTGACCTAGCAGCTGTTTACTCCCACACCAGGAATAGCTGGAATCCTCAGGCCAGAGCGCCACACACTCACCCCGCTCCTTATTGGCCAGGCCTGGCCCCTCCCATCGCCGAGCCGGCCCCACCCCGTGGCGTCCCCCTCAGCTCTCCTCAGACTTCGGGGTTCTCTTGGGCAGTCCCTGCACCTCCAATCACGGGGAGACCCCAGACTCCCATCGGTCCCCACCGGGCACTCCAGGAAACCGAGGCTCATCGGAAGGGAGGCGCGGCTTGTCCTTGGACTGAAACCGTTAGAGCAAAAGACAGGCAGGCGTGCAGAACCCAGAATCTTTCGAGCCGCCCCATCAGCCCTGCCATCTCCAGCATTCAAAGCACTCCCGGGTCTGGCCGCAGCTCCCAGATAGACCTCGGTCTTTCTACCCTGTTCTGCGCATGCCCCTTCTCCAGACACCTGGAGCACTCCAGGTGCCGGGCCCACGCCCCACTTTCCCACCTTTGCCTGAGCAGTGCCCTCAGCCAGGACCACGGTCCCCCTGGTCAGCCCCGTCACGGTCCTGCTCTGAGAAGGCCATAGTCAGGACATCATGTCAGGTGCCAGTGCGAATGTCGGGTCCACACTTACTGGCTGGGGGGCCTCGAGCAAGCCATGTGACCTCTCTGAGCCTCAGTCTCCTCATCTGCGAAATGGGAATGATAAGAACTGGTAACTCCCGGGTGACTGGAGGGATTCACACAGATGTGACCAAGGGCGCCCAAGGCTTGAAAGTGCTCTATCAGATGTCCTTAGCCTTAGGGTTCAATGCCCGCCCCTGAACCAGCCTGTCCTAGAAACAATCCTCCTCCCCTTGACCCCAAGCCAGGGGCCACCCCTATATTACGGAACATGCCCCATCGTCCGCCTACAGAATCCTCCTAGCAACGCGGCTGGTAGGTGCTCTTGCTCCCCATTTCACAGATGAGGAGACTGAGGGATCAGGGCGGTAACGTGCCTTGCAGGCCGCCGGAGCAGGCAGAGGGAACCTTATTAGATGCGTTTGTTTACAGGGCGGTGCCAGAAAGGGCCTCCCCGAGGGGTCCCCCTCTAGTTCTAGTCCCAGAGAGCGCCAGACGTCCAGCTCGGCACGGAGCAGACGGGTCTGGTGGGGGGCGGCTGGCCCCGCTGGGAGGTGGCATCCCGGAGCTCGTACTCAGCCGCGAGGCTGGACGTGCGGAGGCTGAGCGCTGAGCTGCGGGTGAGGGCCGCACCCTGAGCTCGGTCTGGGGCTTCGCTTCTCCGGGTGCCGGTAGCAGGGTACCCCCAAGTGCCGCGTGGGAGGCTCAGTCCTGCGCCCCCTCTTCGGCTGTTGCAACCCGGGGTCGGGCACCCTGACCCCTGCTCCGTTGGAGGGGAGCGGGGCCGCGGCAAGGTCCCCCATCTCCAACGCGGGAGGCCCAGTGAACCCCGCGAGCCTTTAGATCTCGGGGCGCGGTCAGCAAGGAAAGTGGGTCTCGGGGAGCCCCGGGGACCCCCCTCCCCAGCGGCTCTCCATTCCCGCGGCGCAGGCACAAGCCCCC